GTCGGCGTCGTCCAGCGACGGCACGGCCCGCGAGCTCAGCCGGCCGACGTAGAGCGCCTCGCCGCCGGCGTCCAGCCTGCTCACCTCCACCCACCGCCGCGACGCCATGTCCGGCACGTACACGGCGAACCCCCGCGTCGTCCCGGCGTCCGGCATGACCCGGCTCACCATCAGCAGCGGGCCGGCGCGCGACGCGACGAGGTAGTGCGTCCTGGTGTGCCACGGCCGCGCCGCGCGGTCGCCGCGCACGACGCGCTCGACGCGGGACACCACCGGCTCGCCGGTATCCTCGTACCCGACGTCGAACGCCACGAGGTCCTCGCCGTGGGTGAGCGCTTAGAGGCGGCCGTCGTGGTGGAACGCCGCGTCGTCGTACCACCGCCACCGGTCGCGCGCGCTGAGCGACCACGAGAAGCCCTCCATGGTGCAGAGCGCCACCTTGCCGAAGTGCTCGCGGCCGACGACGGCGGCGACGAGGCCGGCGTCGTACGGCGACATGACCAGCTTCCGCACGGACATGTCCTCGGCGCGGGCGTCGCTCTGCGCGGCGCCGTCGCGGTCGCCGTCGCCGTCGCGCCACGGCGCGCCGACGACCTCGATCGCGTTGTCGCGGATGCGGACGGTGTCCTCGGACAGGGCCGGGAGCAGCCTCGTCTTCCCCGTCAACGGGCTCGTCAGGCGGAGGACGTCGAACTCCTCGTCGTCGAACAGGAGCCAGCCGTCGCACGCCGCGACGTAGCCGGCGCGGTCCTCGCCGCCGCCGTGGACATGGGGCAGCTCCGCCGTCTCCGGGAACGTGAACAGCTTGCCGTCCGGGAGCGCGAGGTGCGCGACGGCCACCGGAACGTCTTGCTCGCCGGCCATAGGCGGCGGCGGCGCCAGGGCTAGCTCGTCGGCCATGGAGGAGAATCAATGGCGTCGCGGCGCGCCGCGTCGCGAGGTGCGGATTAGTGGCGTCACTCTGGGGAGTAAAATTGGTAAGTTTCTAGTAGTATTTGAAAGAGGCAAAGAGGTTGGCTAAATTCGATTCGAATCTTGGAGATTGAAACGGATACGAACGAACTCCGACACGCGCACCAACTTGTAAAGAAACTAGCTGATTTTATTTGGAAGTTCAGCAAGTTTAATTTTTCATACAAGGAAACTAGTGCCGGTTTCTACGTTTAATTGTACGTGTTCCCGGGATCAAAATGAGGAGATTAATTTGATCAACTAATGAATTTTAAGCATGAACTGATGAACACGCATGGTTGCCACTAGCTAGGCCGAATGAACCACGATACTCTCTCTTAGTCAAAATTTTAGAACCGTACCCGTTCATCTCAAAATATAATTCGTATAACCGTAACTCGTCGCTGCCGGAATTTTCTGTTAAAATTATAAGCACATAATGATTTAATTTATTTCATGACATTGCAGATGTAAACTAGATTGAACGCATCTTTAGATGTACACATGTAAACTAAGCAGTAAAACATGAACAGATCATATATGCGCAACATCTAGTTTATATCTGCAATGTCATGATTTATTTATGGAATAAATTAAATTATTATGTGCTTATAATTTCAACATTTTCAGGATTCTCGCCGGGTGATGCATCGAGGATCGTTGACACAGATCGATTAATTGTATAGCGCTGCTCAATCGGAGTTGAAATTAAATCAAGCCCGGTGAAAACTTGAATCGAATGAGGATTCTTCTTTCAGCTGGCTAATGGCTTTAACAATCGGTTGAATCGAATCTGAATCCACGTGTGGTTTTGGGCTGTTGCCTTGTGCAAGATGGCGCGAGTACACGAGCTGGGCCGTGTTTGATGGGCCTCCAAGACGCATGGGCTAATGCAAGTAGGCCATGAAGTTGAGCCCATAATTTGCACGACAGCCCAATGCTTTTTTTTTCCTTATTTTACCGTCATGTCTCCTCCAATTATCCATTTCGGTTTCAGGAGATGTTGCGGTTGCACGGAGTGACGCAGAGCAACAGCAGGGTTGTGGCATCTAAAATCATGGTCATCTTTTTTTATTTTTTTTCTAGAAAACGTCATGAACTGAGCAGAAATGATTAGTGTCACTTCCCAAAAATTAACTAGTAGAAGGAACATGAATGGCAGCAGATCAAATCTGTGTACCTAGCTGCCTCATGACAACATGATGCTTAGTTTGCTAACAGCTACTACTCCCTCTTTCCACCGGATTCATAGCACTATGAATCTAAACATATATATATATATATTCTTATTCATAGACAGGATATGTCAAATTCGATTCTAGGTTACTACATATTAGGACAGATGAAGTCTTGTTTTTTACTACACTAACACTCTAATTTCATTGGTAAGCACCTTAACAACCAATCGAGTTACGCTCATTTTGTTCCTTGTTACTTGTATGCAATTTCACAATTGTTGTTCTGTACCATTCAATATGATAGGACAATTCACAATAACTTACATCGTAGGTAAGGATCGCTACCATTGCTAGCGATAACTATTGGAGAATATAACGGCTAATTCATGGTTTCTTCAACAAAAATATACTCTTTTTCTCCCATAATATAGTAATGTAGAATCGGTAGGCGACGTACCCGTCGACAGCGAGGCGCCTGTGGTGACTTCGTTAATTTCTCCAGGATTTACCGGCCCAGTCTTCGAAGATACTTATAGGGGTAGGGTTTGCGTGCGTGTGTTCATAGGGGTGAGTGCGCGTGCGTTGTGAGTGTCAACGTTGTATTGTGTAATTCTAAAAAAAATTAGACAAATTTATTATATATTCCCTCTGTTTTTAATAGATAACGCCATTGACTTTTTCTCACATGTTTGACCATTCATCTTATTCAAAAAATTTATGTAAATGTATAAGATATAAATCACACTTAAAGTACTATGAGTGATAAAACTACTCATAACAAAATAAATTATAATTATGTAAATTTTTTAAATAAGATGAATGGTCAAATATGTGAGAAAAAGTCAATGGCGTCATCTATTAAAAAACGGAGGTAGTATGTAGTTTTATTACAGGAGGGAATACATATTTACCCCCGATGAATCCATATTTTTGCTGACAAGTGGGCCACGCCAACGGGTAGTTGGCGTGCCGTCGAGCCCGTGGGGAATGGCTTCCTCGCCACCGCCGCTGCCGCCCGCCGCCAAGACTCGCCGTCGCCGGCGGCGTCGCCACTTGGAAATAAATCCGGCGCACCCTCGCCATGGGAACGGGCACGTGCTGGCGCAAATCGAGGGCTCCGCGCGTGCGTACTGTAGCTGGCTCGCCGTCGTGGTGCCAGGCGAGCCGGAGCCGGCGAGGCGTCCCCTTGCGGAAACCGCTCCTGGATCGCCGGAAAGTTAGCTCAGAGGACTAGAGGATGAAGATCTTTAGGATTTTGCCGGCGGCGGGAGCTTCGTCTCTGCATCTTATCAGCATCAGGTGTTCTTCGATTTCGGTAGAGGGTAAATTGATGGCAATCAGGCAATGCATGGTAGCGCGAAGCAGATTTTTGTGATGCGTTGATCCAACAAGAAGCTACACAAATGCCCAATGCTTCTCAATTCGGTTGGATTGCTGCTTCCTTTTACTTCCAAGTTCCAACTGCTTGTTTGCTCCTTGCTTCCATCAGTGTGCTCCGTTGCTCCTGCTCACTGTATTAGTATAATTGTGTTCCAAGGATTATAAGATATTATTTTTGGTTGCTGGAGCTCGATCAAAAACTTCTTCACACACTTTAATTGGCAAGCTACTAACAAACTGCTCCTTGTGTAGGGATGTCCAATTGTCCTCCATTGGTTTTAGTTTAGTTTGGATCATCACAAATTATGACTGTGTGTGCCCATGTAACAGAGATGGGAAATGTCAATCATCTGTCGTGTCACAAATAGAATACTACAGTATGATTTGGTATGCATTCAATCATATGCATCCTAATTTAAGCCCCTGATTATATACCTGTGAGTCATAGGTTCTTATCATGAATTGGTTGGTAACATGTTCCTGTCATCATGGACGGGTCAGTTTCTTGGCCATTGTGGACTTCAGTACTATTTAAGATTTGCAACTTGTATAAAAAGACGGAAGGGGAAAATCCACGGAGGGTCAGTAGTGTTTGTTTTCTAGACATCAAACAAGGTGGGGCTCTTTATACTGCACGGGCTTTCTTATCATCTATTCCCACCTGACTTATTTTCTGAGATGCATTTCTCCAAGTAATTGTATAGGGTTTGGAATTTCTTTTGTTTTTTATATTCATCATGCTATTCTCCTATATAATAAATAGGACCCTGTCCCTTTATTCTTTCCAATGCCCCTTCTTAGGGGACGGCTGATACGCGATCAGCCGCGCGGGGGGGGGGGGGGGGCGGTCGCCCCCTCCTCTATCTAGTCTACCATATATACATGTATGTATATGGTATATACATATGTATATATATATAAATATGTATATATATATAAATATATTTTTATGAATATATTTTTAATTTATAAAAAATATATACACATATACAAAGTTTAGATATGACGCGATGTATACAAACTTTATATACATACGTATTAAAAAATAAAAAAAAATAGAAAATACACAAGTATACAAAATTTATATACGCGTATACAAACTTTACATACTTGTATACAAACTTTGTATACGTACAAATACAAACTTGGTATATATACTAATACAAACTTTGTATTCATACACCTTGAAAAAACATAAGAGAAACCGGAAGGAAAGAAAAAAGGAAAAACCAACCGAACAGAAACAAAAAAAAAGGGAAAACTCGGCCCTCCCTCCTCCCCCGCGTGGCGCGTCTGCCGCCCCCTCTCTACGCGCGACACGTGTCCAGTCGCGCGGGGAAGGGCGCGCGCGACTGATCACCAACTAGCCTTCTCGCCCTTCTTGTCCTCTTCTCTCTTGCAGGCACGTCCTGCTATCTTTGTTACATGTATTTCTCCATGCCATGGTATCTGATTCATTTTACTTATCTCTTGCTATTCAGCATGCAGTCCATGGGACCCGGTTCAATTCGGATCTTTTGCTCTTATCTTCTTGTATCTACTCATCGTGAGGCAGAGACATCTAAGTTGACTCAAGTTGTCCAATCAGGATCAGGCATGGTTTAAATGGGATTGCTATGATTGCCTGGTTGTTGCTTGACCACAGCTTTAGCCATCAAGGTTAGGCAATCTTATTGTCAACTATGACTTATTTTGAGCATGGGTATGATTGTCTTATCATCAGGTACAGCTAATCAACAAAGCCTTAGAGGACACTCTTTGTTTAAGGCAACATAACATGTTGTTGGTGGCTTGTTGGTCTCATAGGAACAATACTATTTCACCAACTGTGCAACTTGCATATATAGTTAGTGGAAACAAAACTCAAACACATATTCTAATGGAATCTCAAAGTAAATGGATCTCATCTCCAACCAATCTTATAAATATATACATCTGTAGTCTTCTCTTGTTGAATACTCCTAGACAGTCGGCCATTAGTGACAACAAGCAACTTTGAAGGTTGCAAACTAATAATTAAATCAGAGTCAATACGATTTAGGGGGAAAGCATACCCTATAAGGTTCCAGTATTGTTGATGTGATACAAGAAGAGGATGCTTAATACAAACTTCTCTTTAGTTCCAACCATTACTATGATCCTACATTAATTCATTGTATGATATGCTGTTGCTGGTGATAACTGGTAAGACCAATGGTTTCCATCAGTTAATAGAGAGTTCAGATTTCTTCCTCTTTCTTTTCTTCATGTCCCCCAATTTCATGCCTGATTTGTCTGTGCTGATCATGCAGTGTTAGCAGAAGTTTAATGACTGATGTGCACATTTCTATTTTCTGGCCTTCTGGGGAATTATAGTTGAAGAGATCTTATTTGGACTTTGGTAGGATCAATTCATCTGAGCACATACCACGCCCTTTGTGCATCACTCTGTCGCCTATTAATATGTCCATATGTAGGTTCTTTCTCTATCTCTTACAGATTAATTTTTTCTTGTTCTCTGGCTCTCTGTTGAAACTTTCTAGCTGTAGCTATTGATTGCACCAGCTTTCTTTTAATGAGCTTGCAATTCAACTTATCCATTTTCTCTTTTCTTTCTCCAGGTGATCTAAGGTTTTATCTTGGTGTTTTATTGCTGACAATCCTCTGCCATCTATCCATTGGTATCTTAATGGGTTATTTATCAGAGGAAACTAATTTTGGAAGATTAATAGGCTATTGTTAATTCTTACTGCCGGCACTTCTTTTTTTGCTGGACATTGGACTGTAAATGTAAGGTAAGGCTTCTTCACATCTTGCATCATATTTTTTTTGAATGATGTGAATGCAGTGAATATGCTGTAACTACCTACAGTTATAAATGATCCAGTGTCTTGCACATTGGCCTACATACATGCTTATGCAAAAGCTATAGGTACACTAAAGTTATAACCAAGGATCTAAATCTCAGCGGTAACCAGCGTATCTCCAGGCCTAGTGACAGTGTCCCACTTGCTGAGTTCCAGGAAGCTCTGAACCTGAAAACACAATTGAGCATTCCTCAAGCAGACTTTCTCACCTACAGCCAATTTTTTAGAAATGTTTTTGTTATAGGTGACTCCATCCACAACAAATTAATGTCTCAAGTTTTACTCTTTTTTTTTCTAAACACAAGTTTTACTTTTTAAAGTAACAAACGTTCCACTTTGATCGCCAGTTTTATTCTATAGATTTTAATAAAGTGTTCTTATTACTTGCATTATTTATCAATTATCCATGACGTAAGTCTTATGCAATATGTTTGGTCAAACCAATATGTTTTTGATTGCACATAGTTTAGGGCATCATTTTTTGTGATAGGACTACCATTTTAAGAAGTACAGTGTCATCAGGCACCAGCATATCAAATCTTTGGCGATCACTGTAATTAGCCCAGCAAATTAATGTACAATGAACATGTTTGCAGAGTTGTATGCGATGATAACTCTTGGTGCTGTAATATTCTGCCCACCTGCTTACAATCTATTTCAGTTCTGTTGCTTCTGTATGTTACTAAAAACATATAGCTGCAGTCCTCTATTTCAGAGATGCTCCGAGATTTAACTGTAGTGAGCTTTTCTCCATTTTTCAGACTGTGTTGTTCTTGCTGGGCACTTTTCCTGGTAGTTTTGGCAGATCTCCTTGAACCAGTTCATCTATGGCAGCCATATTGGGTTCTTTAGTTGGATCATGTGCTAAGAAGTTGCAAGAGATCATTACAGATGAGGCAATTCTAATTCTAGGTGTGAGAAAAGAGCTTGAAGAACTACAGAGGAGAGCAGACATCATAAAGTGTTCTCTTAATGATGCTGAGGCAAGGAGGATGGAAGACACAACAGTTGAAATGTGGCTTGGACAGCTAAGAGATGTTATGTATGATGTTGATGATACCATTGATTTGGCCAGATTTAAAGGAAGCATGCTGCTATCTGATCATCCTTCAGCATCGTCAAGCTCAACCAAATCGACTTCTTGTGGAGGCCTTTCACTTTTGTCTTGCTTTTCTAATACTGGTACACGCCATGAGCTTGCTGTTAAGATTAAAAGCCTTAACAAAAAGATAAATAACATTGTAAATGACAAAGTATTCTTAGGACTTGAGAGTACACCATCCACTGGAAAAGATTCAGTAACACCACAGGAAAGAAGTTCCAAACTAGTGGAACCAAACCTTGTGGGAAGGGACGTGGTACATGCTTGCAGAAAATTAGTGGATCTGGTCATTAAAAATAAGGAAAAGACGGCCGATATTGAAAATAAGGAAAAGAAGGCTGATATTGAACATAAGAAAAAGGAACCCTACAAGCTTGCTATTGTTGGAACTGGCGGAATTGGTAAGACCACACTTGCTCAGAAAATATACAATGATAAGAAAGTGGAAGGGAACTTCGACAAACGTATATGGGTTTGTGTTTCCAAAGAGTACCTTGGAACGTCTCTATTGAGAGAAGTTCTTCGGGGTATGGGTGTGCAATATGGAGCAGATGAATCACTTGGTGAGCTGCAAGTCAAGCTTATCTCAGCCGTTAGTGAGAAGAGTTTTCTCCTAGTGCTAGATGATGTGTGGCAATCTGACGTGTGGACTAATTTACTACGGATTCCACTGCATGCTGCATCAACAGGAGTAATTCTAGTAACTACTCGACTTGATATTGTCGCTCGGGAAATTGGGGCAGATCACACTCATCAAGTTGATTTGATGTCAGATGATGTAGGATGGGAGCTACTTTGGAAGAGTATGAACGTCATTGAAGAAAAACAAGTGCAAAATCTGCGTGATATAGGGATGGAGATTGTTCGCAAGTGTTATGGCCTTCCCCTTGCAATAAAGGTTATTTCCCGAGTTCTAATCAGCAAAGATAAATCAGAGAAGGAATGGAAAAAGATATTGAACAAAAATTCTTGGAAAACGAACAATTTTCCTAGTGAAATAATAGGTGCTTTGTATCTGAGTTACGATGAGTTGCCACAACATTTGAAGCAATGTTTTCTTTATTGTGCTATATACCCCGAGAATTCAACAATTAACCGTGATGATATTACCAGAATGTGGATAGCTGAAGGCTTTATAGATGAGCAGGAAAGCTCTACAGATGAACAGAAACACCAACTACTAGAAGATACAGCAGTAGAATATTACTATGAGCTGATCCACCGGAACCTCCTTCAACCAGATGGTTCACATTTTGACCATATTAGATGCAAGATTCATGATCTCTTAAGGCAGCTTGCTTTTCATTTATCAAGACAAGAGTGTTTTGTGGGAGATCCAGAAACACAAGGTGGTAACAAAATGAGTGTAGTGCGACGTATTTCAGTTGTGACAGGAAAGGACATGGTGGTATTACCTAGGATGGATAAGGAGGAATATAAAGTAAGGACTTACAGAACTTCATATCACAAGTCACTGAAAGTTGATAGTTCACTTTTCAGGAGACTTAAATATCTCCGTGTTTTGGATTTGACTAAATCATATGTACAAAGCATCCCAGATAGCATTGGAGATTTGATTCATTTGCGTTTACTTGATCTTGATAGCACTGACATATCTTGTCTTCCAGAGTCCCTTGGTTCTCTTAAAAACCTTCAAATACTGAATTTGCAATGGTGCGTTGCTTTGCACAGACTTCCTTTGGCGATCACTAAGCTGTGCAGTCTTAGACGGCTTGGTATTGATGGTACACCAATAAATGAGGTCCCAATGGGGATAGGAGGATTGAAGTTCCTCAATGATTTAGAAGGATTTCCTATTGGTGGTGGTGGTAATGATAATGCTAAAATACAAGATGGATGGAACTTGGAAGAGTTGCGTCCTCTTCCGCATTTGAGGAAGCTTCAGATGATCAAATTGGAAAAGGCAGCTTCAGGCTGTAAAGATACATTGCTAACAGACAAAGGGTATCTCAAAGTCTTAAGACTATGGTGCACTGAGCGTACAAATGAACCATATTCAGAAAAAGATGTTAGTGACATAGAGAATATGTTTGAGAAGTTAATCCCTCCATGCACTCTAGAAGATCTAGTTCTCACAAGATACTTTGGTCGAAAGTATCCAACATGGCTTGGTACTACCTATTTGTGCTCACTAGAATATCTGACTCTAAGATGGTGCAAATCATGTGTATGTCTTCCAACAATTGGGCAGTTGCACAACTTGAAATATCTAAGGATTGAGGGAGCAATAGCAGTTACCAAGATTGGACCAGAATTTCTTGGCTGCAAGCTCAGAACCACAGAGGAGGCAGTAGCATTCTCTAGGCTTGAATTGCTTACCTTTACAGATATGCCCAATTGGGAGGAGTGGTCCTTTGTTGAAGACGATGATGAAGCAGCAGCAACAGCAGAGCCTGTAGCAAATGAAGGGGAGGCGAATGATGCTTCTGCAAAGCCGAAAGGGGAAGCCCCAGTTGGAAGGTTGCAGCTGCTGCCATGTCTAAAGAAGTTACACCTTCGTAACTGCCCAAAACTGAGGGCTTTCCCGCGACAGCTTGGGAAGGTGGCCACCAGCTTGAAGGTGCTCACAATAGGTGAAGCAAGATGCTTGAAAGTTGTGGAGGACTTCCCATTCCTTTCTGATAACCTTTCGATCATTGGATGTAAAGGTCTGAAGAGGATCTCTAATCTTCCACAGCTGAGGGATCTGCGTGTAGCCCGTTGCCCAAACTTGAGGTGTGTCAAGGAGTTTGGCTGTCTGCAGCAGCTGTGGCTGGGCGTGGGTATGCAAGACGTGTCTTCAGTATGGGTGGCCGGGCTCCAAGGACAACACCGGCAAGATCATGGAGATGATCTGGATGTCTACACATGGCAACTTCGTGTAGGCTGAGAGGCAAAGACGCAGTTAAATGGAGATAATAAATGGTATGAAATGTAATACTTGATAATGAATTTAGTTCTTTTAGCATGTCTTGATTATGCCATCTGAATTTTGCCCTCCTGAATCTCAATGCTGCCGCCTTGTTGGATTGTACATTCCAGCATGTCCATATTGGATCAAAAACAAAATCACGTTAGTGTCGATCACAACCTTCATGTGGAGAGCATTATTCGTTTATTATGAGATTTATGTACTTTGTACTGTTTGGTTTTGTATATAGAATTATGTATAGATTCATGACATCAAAGATTTTCATAAATTGGTACGTTACTAGCCTTGGCTCCCATGTTTTATTTTAGAAGCAAAACCCTGTTTGGGGGCAGAAGAAAAATAATCTGAGTCCACTCTTGAGTCTCAACTTTGTAACTCGTATTTCTATACTCGCGTCGTTTATGAAGTCCTAAAATTAGTCTTGTTTACATAGCCGTACTTATTTTAGTTCTTGTTTACCTTTGTAGGTCGTTAATCTTGCAGACCCATGCAATTTAATCTTCTGTTGTATAACTTCATCATCCTTTCTTGAACTCTATAAGGTCGATGCTAGAATATATTTAAAAAAAGATTTGGAAAAGCATCAAAATAGAAAAGCAAATACCAAATGTGTTGGTTGCACATTCAAGCAAGATGAAAACACATGGGGTCAACATTTCCATTGAGTTAGCGGCACATCCACAAATACTTGGATGCAACATGCTAAAATAGAAGGAAAAATCAGCAATTTCACTCATGTGTGTTATAGTTACAGAAGGAGACAAGTAAACAAATGAGAAACAGAACAGAACAGATTACAGGCTACACATCTGAGTATCTGACACCACAAACTTAGTAAAAAAATCCATTACAGTGTTATAATTAATATGTTTGTGTTCAAACTAAACCTGCTATATTTCACCAGATAGAACGTATTTCAGATAATGTCTAAATCAGCATATTGAACTTGGTGAGCATTTTGAAAAAAAAAAGAATAAAGAAATGCATATCCTGTCCACTCTCTCCAGCTGAATTTTTGCGGCCATGATTCATAAACTATAATCCAGTTCAAATGCAAAGAATGAAAGACATGCTGCTGTGAGATTTCTAAGCCACAAATTCAAGACTGCGCTTAGCATACTGAAAAGTAAGATGGTTGAACCATATTGTATAATTAAAACAGTACTAATGGATAAAAACAACAAGAGAAGAAGGCCTAGAGCACCGGTGAAATCTCACCCCTGGACAGAGCTTGGTGCAGAGGGGACATTTAAACACGAAGTTACACGTCTGTAAGCAATATAAAAAATAGATGGCATTTTATATTTCAAAGCAGTATGAACCTTCTCTGCAACATACTTTGATGCAGTTTTAGACCAGCAGAAGGTAATTTAATAGATGTGCCCTGTAAGATATGAACTACTGACCATATGGATTACCAAGTCCCAGTCTTCTAGTTAGGCATGTGAATATCACAATAACATGTAAACACATAAATCAAAAGGTTTTAGCAACCTACTAAGTACTCTTTTTTGTCATCTTAAAAAAAAATTGCTGATAGATCATACTGCCCTGTCCCTTTTGTTAAACTATATAATTATCAGCCCACTGAAACATCATTAGATTCCTGGTTTTGCTGATCATTTACATAAGCTAGCTAATACATAGTTAATTATTTGGCAGCCTCCTCCTCATCGTCAGAAGGATTGTCATCGTCTTCGTTGATATCTTCTTCATCAGAAATCTCCTCCTCCTCATCATCATCATCTTCAGTGTCACTGTCAACATCAAAATCCTCTTGGCCGGATTCCTCGTCGTCAGTCATGAGCTCCTCCTTCCAGTTAACAGCAGTGAAGTTGGCGGCCTTATCCTCATCGACATCGACATAGCCCTTCTCCTCCAACTCGTTGCGGATCCACGCCTGGCGCCCGAGGATCCGCCTCTGCAACCTGTCGTGCTCCCGGGCGCAGCTGAGGATGGTGCGCATGAGGTCGTCGGAGAACTCCGGCGGGAACGCCGGGTTGTCTTTCAAGCTCCGGTAGTAGCGAAGGGAATCGCTGGGGTAAGGCTCCGTCTTCCTGGCGAGGATCGCGTCGATCGTCTCCTGGGAGAGACGGATCTTGCCTTGTGGCACCGGAGGATGCCCCTCTAGGATCGTCTCCGCCGCCTTCACATGGTGCACTAGGGCCACCGCCATCGGCACCTTCCGACGGGTGCCCTAACCATCCCCATCCCCATCGCCACCGTCAACAGCCGCCGCCGCTGCCTCATCTTTGTCGGCCATCCGCCGCCGCCGCCTAATGCAGCTTACGGGGGAATTTGAGGATTTTGTTTCGCCGGGAGAGGCTTTCGATGGGGATATTTGGATGGAACCCTAAGCCGCCGACCCGATGTGGGGAATTTGAGGATTTTCTCTCGCATTTTATACCAGACGATGAGGGCGAACGAGTCCGAGCCGGCCTCACCACGATCGAGCTCGTCTCGTATAGGAATAAGTTCACTTTTGGTCCCTCTATTTGTCGCCCAGTCCGATTTTCGTCCCTCGACCGCAAAACCGGGTACGACCCATCCCCCGATTTTCGAAAACCGGCAAACAAGATCCCTCGGCGGTTTTGAAGGTGGTTTTGGCTGTGGCGCCTATGTGGCTTGTTTGACTAGTTGTCCGTCCCACGTGGCATTGATGTGGTGCTGACGTGGCAATTATATCTCAAAAAAATAATAAAAATCGTGGGTCCACATGTCAGCCACAGAAAAAATAATTTTAAAATGGTGGGTCCCACATGTCAGCTAAAAAAAATAAATATGGTGGGACCCACGTGGGCCCCACATGTCATTCCCAAATGACCAAATCCAATCCTCTTCTTCCTCCTCTCTCCGGCTCTCCCCATCTCTCTGCTCCCTCCTCTCGCCGGGCGGCATCCAGCACGGTGGGTGGCGCGGCGGCGGTGGGCGGCGCGGCGACGGACAGCGCATGGCCGGCGGCGGGCGATGGCGCGCGGCGGCGCGTGGAGCAGCGGCGGCCATCTCTCTTGCACAACAGATGGATTAAGTTGTGACCACGATCGATCGCTTCAAACCAAGTTGAGTTCACAGCAACGAGATTCACATACTGCAATGCAGAAACGCAAACAGAACAGGCAATTCAGATGGCCAAATGCGACAGAATGGAAGAGTTAACCACAATCCAAAGCTAGAGGATTCAAACAGCAGCACCAGAACTGCTTCACTGGGTTATGTTGCGACCAAACTGAAATCACAGCAGCAACCAGCAAGGTTCAAATCACCGCAATGCAAACACAGACAAGCAATTCATGAGGCGATTCTCCACTGCTTCATCACAGATGCTCAAATCCAACCGAGGAACTCCAAGTTAGTTCAAAGTTCAAACCAATTCCCTTCCTCCAATCCACTGAACTTCCAGAAACACACGCGCACATTGAAACCACACTCGATTAAGAACAAGGCACACAGAATCCGAAACAATTTCAGAAGTTCAAGAGCTCCGGAGTTAACTCAAATTCGCCATCTCTAACTCGAAGCTACGCACGCACAGGGAGCAGAGCGAATCACTTACCAGTCGAAGGGAGGGCGACGGCGAGCGAGGAAGGAGGCGCGCGGAAGCCTGCACACCCGGAGCGGCGCCTCGCACGAACCGCACACGGATGGCTGACGCACAGGAGCGGCGCCGGCGGGAGAGGAGGGAGCGACGCACGCGCGCTCGCCGGTAGGCCAGGGAGCTTGCCTAGCCGTCCGCCGCCCTTCCAGCTCGCCGGCGGGAGAGGAGGGAGCTCGGCTCCTTCGTTATTCTTTCCCTTTCCCATACGCGCGTGCCCGGGAGGGAGTGAGGCGAGTACGAGCCGCCGCCGCCGCCGCTGCTGTTGCCGCTGTCGCGGCGGAGGAGGGAGAAGAAGCCGAGGGCGGAGGCCGGGCCGGGGGAGGATGCTAGGGCACAGAGCGTGTGTTGAGCATGAAGAAATTGGGGGCACAGGGGAGGGAGGCGAGGAGGCGGAGCACGGCGTCGGGAGGGGAGAGCGCGACGTAGGCGGCTTGTGAAGCAGCGGCGGGAGGACGACGAGCGCGGTGTAGAGGAGCTTGGCAATGCCGTCCCGGCGCGCGCGGAGGGCGTCCGGGTGGTCGGCGGCGGCGACATGGATGGCGGCGTCGATGGCGTCTTCCAGGGCGCCGCCGCGCTGCTCGCCTTCACGCGGAGCGGCGGCGCTCCGGTCGGGGGGCGGCGCCGACAACGCCCGCCGCCGCTGCCGGAGCTCGCCTGCTCCACCGCCCACCCACGCCGTCCTCTGCCCGGGAAAGAGAGAGATTGAGAGGGGAAAGGGAAGAAGAGAGAGAAGGGAGAGGGAAGAAGAGAGGAGTGAGACTGACATGTCGTATCGGATGGGACATCTCACAGTGCGTAGATTCGTTGTACTGTGAGATGTCCCGGTATTATGTTGCTATATTATGGGATGGAGGGAGTAACTGGATGTTTCATTGCCCTCGTGCTGTCAAAAAAAAGTTTTAGCAATTTACAGAGAAGTGGTGGGGCGATTCAGTCGCTCCTCGCCGAGGGGCAGACCGGGGGGGGGGGGGGGCTACTTAGGGCAGCGCCAAGCGGAGCCTTCCGGTCCCGGCGCGGCGGTGACAGTGGTGGGTCCAAGACGGCACGCGCACGGTGAAGCCGGCGCATCCATGAGGATGAGGAGGCCAGTGCGACGCCGAGGCACGCGTGCGCAAAGATGAGGCCCGCACGGCGACGGCGGCGATGCCATTTCATGGTGAAAACCCGCACTACGGTGGGGTTTCCCGGTGGCTTAGGGTTCCAACAAAACGGTGAGTAACCCGGATTGAACGAGGTTAAATTGATTTGCAGATTTTGGGAATCTAGGGTTTCACCGAGTTAGGGTTTTCTTAATTGGGGATTTCATGAAATTTCAATGTAGTTTATCCCCTCCTCCAATTTAGGAATTTTTTTTTTTTTTTGGTTTCCTTCTTCTATTGATTCTTCTCGCTGCGGATAGACACGGGCGAACGATGGATGAAGTGTGGACGACGGAAGTAAAATTAATCAGACTTTCCTTTTTCATTTTTGTTTTTGTTGTTTTCCCTTTCTTTCCATTTTCACGGACAACGGAAGCAGATTGAATCGGACATTTTTTTTAATTTGTTTCGCCCTTTTTCGTTATTACGACGATGGAAACGTTTTCAATTTTTTAAAGTAGCGGATAGATAGATAGATAGATAGAGATAGAGGAGAAATAGAGTTTTTTTTTTCTTTTGCCAAGCGAACCAACCAGGAAGCTTCGTGGTGCTGTTTCTCTATGCACTGGAACGGGGCCACTCTGCCGTCTATCTCCAGCTGACTCGTGGGCTCCGAGCGGAAGGCCCACGTACGAAAAAGCAGCGGGCGGAGGCGGGTATTGCCCATTGGGATTACCTGTATATTTCTCGATAAATTTTTCCCCAAAAATTTGATAGATGTAATTATAGTATAATCGTAGTGTAATTACACTGTAACTTATATGTAATTACACTGTAACTTGCATGTAACTACACTGTAACTTATATATAAGTTTCACATAATTTTGAATCGTTAGATCTATTACAAGATTTGTTTTGGTGAGGAAGAAAACAAATCATAGCACACACATATGTGAAAGAATTTGTTCCCACGACCTCCATTTTACCGAAATAACATGTTACGGAGAGATTTTTGAAAGTTACATACAAGTTATACTATAGTTACAGTGTAATTACATGAAGTTACAGTGTAATTACACTACGATTGTACTGTAATTACATCTATCAAATTTTTGGAGAAAAATTTGTCGACAAATATATAGCAAAATCGTTGCTGATTATATTGGCGAGTGGCTCGAGGCAGACAGCGCGAGCGACGAAATTCGACGCACCGCCTCGGCAAACTGTGTTAAACACCTTTTTTTACATTTATCTAAATGATTATGAAATATTTTTTAAACAATATTGCCATGATATGTTAATATGTAATATATCATCTCACAAACATATAAGTTCAAATTCGACTTCTACAAGTTGTAAAAAATAACAAATTCAACTGTGAATACGTATACTAGTTAGAGTTTAATTTGTTATTTTTGTTACAACTTGTAGAAAGTCGAATTTG